TGGGCTAAATATTGCAGTGAACACTGGGCCTTTTTTCTCCACAACCCAAACTTGCATTGAATAATTTATGGCGGACACAACAATGCCCTGAAATTTAGCTTTAATTAAAATCCAAATAGATGTGCTTGTAATGATAACACTAGTACAATACCCCGTGTACTGAATATTTGTTAAGAAATTATTTTTAAAATTAATTAATAATAACAGTAATTGTTTAAAATTAAATATATGTATTTATTACACTAATTTAAGGGTTTTATGGAAATTAATGAGGCGATTGAGAGCTTTTCAAATAAATCACGGTTATATTAGTCAATCAGTATAATTACCAAAAGTTCTCATACAACATAAGGATTATATTAGTCAAACTATTATAGAATTGCCAAGTTAGTTTTTTAAAATTTTTGGAATGTCCGAACTTGTAATTATTATTTAGAATAATGTTATTTTTTATCCAAACCAAACTACGAAGCATGTTTTTTCGCCAAGTAGGATTCCCAAGTGTGCGAGACTGCCACTTAGGCTCAACGCATTCTGCAATTATATATAGAGGGGATGTTATTTTTGGTATAAATATAAGAGTAATGCTATAGGCATTACTCTTGTGTTGTAACCCTGAAGTTTACATTTACCCTTGTATTGTAATCCAAGTTGCCATACAAGTAGGCTAAATAACATTATTCAAACTCTTTAAGTTATTTGTATGATCTAACTCTTCTAATTATGATAAGCACTTAGGGCATCCACAACCCTTAACACAAATATCATTTATTTAATCAAGAAGCAACACTCTTTCTCATCCACATCATCTTTCCACTCTAATTTAAATACACACTCACATTCCTACACATTCATTTAAATACATATATGTGACCCATTATCTACTTATTCAATATAAATTTTTATATTCTATTCTCAATAAAAAAAATACAATTTAATATTTTTAAATTATAGTAAATACAATTTAATATTTTTAAATTATAATATTAAATTTTAAATGCATGAAAATAAAAGAACACTACAAGAACAAGAGCAAAGTAACTTAAATTAAGATTATTAATAACTTTAACAAGTGAAGAGTTGCTTATTTTTTTTTCTTTTGTTTTTTTTTTGTGTAAGAGAAATGTAAAAATGAGTTGAATTAATAAAGGATATAAAATATAAATTATTGATATATATTGACAAGTGTGATATAGAAAAAATTTTAATTTTAAGTTATCATTATTAGAAAGTGTGATATAGAAAAAAATATATAAATTCAATATATAAAAGAATATCAGTCCTTTGAACGCAAACTTGGGCCCCACATGTATAATGAACGGCCGCAACGGGGTGAATGCCAAATTGGCATTTAAACTGGGCTGAAAAACGCCTCATTGTGGGTGCTCTTATGAGATGCAGACTTATTATATAAGTATATTTTGAAAATAAATAAATAAATAAATTTAATTCACCATTAAAAATGAATTCTAAATTGGACTTAAGGAAAAAGAAAATTCCCAATATTTCAAATAGATAATTTTTAATTTGAAATGTTGAACTCAAAAGCTTTCAATCTAATACCTTATGTCCTCACATAGTCTTGTGCGGGAAGGTCTAACCGTTAGGCAGATCAATGTTTTATACTTTTTTTTTTAACGAAAATACATACTTATACTATGAAATGTTATAATGTTAGAAAAAATATTAAATATACTTACAGAATAAGTCAAGGACAAGAGATTTATATTCCAACCAAGCTTCCAAGATGATATATCTCTTTCCTTAATTGCACCATACACTGCTGACACTAAGCAACTGAAGCCACACTGTAATGTTGTGAGCCTCAATTTTGCAGGATATTCTTTCAAAATTGGAGCCTAAAAATTTAAATTTAATTTTCAATAAAATAAATTAATCAAAAATTAAACAAACAAATAATAAATTACATAAAAAGAAAAATAATAATAATATTTTGGAACCAAAATTGGACCTGCATGACAAGCCAAATGGACCATGTCAAGTTTGATCCAAGCAAGAGAAGGGAGCCCTTGATCCATTCTTCTTTTGAGTAGTTCTTTACAATTAGATTTTGGGCTTCCTTATTGGATCCAGAGTATAGGTGTGGGCCCTTATAGAATGTGAAGACCATAGCTCCTGAGATGCCGAGTACGGAGCCCAATATTTTGGCCCATCCATGTTTCTTCCTTATTGCTAGGTTTTCAATCCTACATCATGCACAAATTAAGGATTTTTTTTTTTTTAAAACAGGCTCAAATAAACCTCGTGAGGGTCCTAGTAAAAGAAAAAAATAATAGTAATAAATTTGAATTTATCATATTTTACTATGTTTATACATTTCATTATTTTCATGTGTGTTTTTATTTCTAGCTAGTATTGTGATCTAGCATTATGTTTCATAAAATGACGATATTGGAGTTTTGATATATATAAAGTCAACAGAAAATTAAATCGCTTATTCAGAAATTCAATAATAATCAGTCTTCGAGTATATGTTAATACATTATTTGTGTACATTGTTATACCTCGACAAAATTGCTATAGTGAAAACCATAGCAGGAATTGTGTTCGTGATTGCCGTGGCAAAAGTTGCAGAGATATAGTTTAAGGCAACATAGTGTAAGTTCAATGACATGGTCATCCTGCAAAAAACATAGCAAATATGAATGTCATAGCACATACGCATGCTCATAAGCTCAATTCACAATAACATTACCAGAGATAATTTGTTATTGAGATTATTTTGATTCTAAACTGAACCCTAACTAAAAACAAAAACAAATTTCAAATTTTGTTCTAAACTTAACCCTAACTATAAAATAAATTAAATTCAAATTTTACATACCCGCAGGAGCAAACAATGAAAATCTTGATCAGTAAGTAAAAGCTCAGACGATGCGACCTTGTCCTGTATCGCGAACACCAACAAACAAAAACGATAAAAATTAAAATCGAATCAACCTGAAATTTCGGCGTTTCTTTCTTAAAAAACCAAAAAAAAAAAGAACTATGATTGTTTTCGAAAACCTGTCGACGAAATAAGCAAATGGAGCTAGGACAAGTGCAGCCAGGGCCTGTCGATAAGCGACAAAAACGGAAGGTTTCATTCCGGAGGAAATAGCCGCTTTGGAAAGCAAAAACATGGCTGCATATATGAACTGTGTGATTATCATGGCAATTAGAGGCATGTGTTTGTTCATGATTATTTTGCAGCTCTTCATCTTGCAAATAATTGCAGTAATTGCCTTCTTATTTTTTTCTTTTTAATTAAGAAAATACTAGTACAGAATCTCGTGCGATGCACGGGGAACAATTTTAAGTGGTGGTTTTACGTCCACGTGTTTGAAAAAAAAAATGACATAAATTATTTAACACTTCCTAGTACACAACATTTGTGGTTTGAGTTTTTGGCAAATCGTCCTCACCACAAACTTTGACGATTCGTAACGCGGGAAACAACATACAGTTGACCCTAAACATTGATTTCTTCATAAACCGACCAATTGTCTGATAACGATTGACATTGACTCTTATTTATTGTGATATTGTATCCATTTATTATACGTGAGAAATAACATATATGAAATTATTACTTTCATCTGTTAAAAGTTATATGAAAATTTTGAAATATTTATTAGGTAGGTTAGATAAATATGGAAATGAATCAATACGTGTAACAATGTGGTTGGATAAAGACTTTTTGAATTTTCTAATTTCAAACCCAAATAAAATCAAGACTATTTGGAAAAAAAATCAAAATAGTTTGTCATTAAATTCATATAATTTTTTCAGTTTGTTGAAAACGATACATAAAATTAATTGGGTAAAAGAACATAAAATATATATGTTTAAAATATCTAAAATAATATATAACATATATATATAATACCTAAAATCTATTATATTATTCTTGAAAATGTGTGAAGTCACTCAATTTTTTATACTATTTTGAAAGAAAAATATGTATAAAACACATTTAAATTTTTTGAAAAAAGTTGTACACAAATTCTATTTATGGTCAACAACTTGACTTTGATTAAAAAAACAAAGCAATAATAAATTATGAAGACCTAAAGACTATAAGTAGATTAAATAAGTCAACATATGTGCAAGTTTGAACTATTAACAACGTAAATAACGAAAGAAAAAAAAAATAATGTGATAAGGGGACCAAATTATGGTTGATCGCAGACCCGCTGAGATCAAACTCGATGCAAGAGAGCCTTCTCGTTCTCACCGCAAGTATCCCCAGATTCTTCACGACCAAGGTGGTCCCCTTTTTCATTTTCTCCCTTCTATTCACAAATTTGAAGAAAAGTTGTAGGGATAATCATCTTGTGGGGCATGCCAAGGCTCGAGTGACATTTAATTATGTCAATTTATTCATTGGATTTAAATACTAATTATCCGTAATTAATGTTATTTGTTTTATTTGTTATGATTTTCTTCAAACTAAATTAACAACTACCATGATTTAAGGGCTCCATTTATGATGCTTGATTTTTTGCTAAAAAAATAAATAAATAATTAAAAGTTACTAAAAGTGGTATGTAATTAATGCAAATAAATTTTGACAATAATTTGACTTGCCATTTTTGAAAAATGGTAAATCTTTTTATATATATATAGATGATTCTTTGTGTTCTCATGCACACATCAATGTAAAATGGTACATGACCTCGAGGCATAATTTATATTTGTAAAGTTTCCTCGACAAACCTCCAATAACTAACGACAAGTAAGGGTCGATACCACGAGAAGTAAGAATTAAATTGTGTCAATTCTCGTAGTAATTGATTAATTAATAATAATAAAGCAATAAAAATGGGGAGATTGATTAACAAAAGAAAATAAAAAATCAAATGAACTGATAGAAGTCCAGTTTTTGGTTCAGTTATCACTCAATCTAAATCTATAATTAATTAATTCAATGTCCTCTTTAAATTACTACTGAATTACAAACTCTAACTAACAATAAGTTCTGTAACCGAATTTTCCCTTACTGAATATTTAATCGAAATAAACTCTTCGACTAAACTCAACTAGTAGCTAACCTAGAACAAGCTCTCTAGGTTTAATACACTAGCAACATTAATTCCTAGGAAAATAGATTAGTCCAAGTATCGAACAAATGCGAAAGATAGAACCACTTAACTTATGTTCACGTTACCCTAGAGATGCACGACTGACATTCATCATATTTACATGCATTATGAGTGATATATTATGATATTTGGTCGTGCTTATCGTTTGATTGTGCACCATTATGTCTATTTATTAATATATGATAGAGGTACTTTTTGTCGTTAGTTTGCAGGAAATATGCCTGAAAAAATGTTAAAAATGGAGTCGAGACGATAAACGATAAGAAACAGGTGCTGATGATGACACACGACTCGTGTGGGAAGTGACAGGAGTCGTGTGAGTGAGAAAAAATAGACGTTACGGTATTTTCACATGGGTCGTGTGGGAGGTGACACGGGTCGTGTGACTTCGGGTCGTGTGGCTCTGTGACACTGGTCGTGTGTACTCACACGTGTTGTGTGACCCGGTCGTGACCAATCGTGTGAGTCTCGGAGTTTGGCGAAAATTGGAGAAATGTCACACGACTCGTGTGGCATGTGACACGAGTCGTGTGACGCGCAGACACACCAGCGGGAATTAGGATTCTTATGCGATTTCTTCCCTTTTTCGACCCATAATTGCCCTACAGTATAAAAGGAACTTGGAGAACACGACTTTGGGACTTTTGACACCATTGGAGGCCTAGAGAAAGCACGAAACACACGAGGGATTCGAGGAAGACAAGATTGAAGATTTAGGAATTAACGGCGACAATAGTTCTTCTAATTTCTTTTCTCTTTTTCTTCTTTATTGAACTCATGGATTTGTTTATTTCGAGTATTAAGAATATGTTTAGTAGCTAAAACTCTTTGAGATTCTAGGATTTGCAAGTACTCGGATTATTTTATGAAGTGATTTTGTTTATTCATTCTGGATTATCTTTCATTTATGAATTGTCTGAATATAGGGCCCGTATTTGTGCATATTTGTGATTGACTTGAGACCGAGAGGAGATAATTGATTGCCAGAATTGGGAAATTCATAACATAAGAGACTAAACAGACCGAGAGGTTGATAGAATCTTGCGAGGGAACTGAAATCTTAGGAAATTATGAGAGTTAGTTGTTCATCTTGAGATCGAGAGGAGATATATAACAATTAATATATACGATTTAACTTGTTCGAGAGAAAGGTGTAAATTACTTTAGTGATTATCCCTACGATTGGTTGAATTAGATAAGGTTTGTATGAATAAGAAAACTTTGCTAGAATAATCTCGAGGAAAGCATAGCCTAAAATCTATTTTCTCATTCTTGATTTATCTTAGTACAAGCCTTCTTTAGTGTTAGAATTTATTTTGCAACCATTTATTAGTTTAGAATAGAATCACCATTCAAATTCGAGTTAGTCTAAATAATATTTAATCGTCTATATTGGTACTTAATTATTATAACATCAATCTCTATGGAATACGACATTGGTTGTCGTTTGCTACAGCTACACCGTGCACTTGCGGGTAGTGAAAATATTTTGCAAATAACAACCCCTACCTTACTACTAACAAAATATATAAGAAAAATTATAATTGCGGATTAAAGCCTTATCTAGCAATTAACTATAAATATTTAACTAACAAAATAAGAAAAATTATAATTGCAGATTAAAATCTTATCTAGCAATTAACTATGAATTTTTGTGGCATGATTGGTACGAGGGAATGACATTGGAATGAAATGACCATTCTCTTATTCATTATTATCCCATAATTGGTATATTTTTTTGGAAATAAATGACCATTCCAATGGGAATGACAAAACCCATCTCCATGGGATTAGCCATTCCATAGTTCATGGAAGGTTTTTTTCATTCCCATGTATGTAGGAATCAATTTTTCAAAAAATAAAATTAACAAATAATAATAAAAAATTAAATATATAATATATATTATAAATAATGATTAAAATATATTAAATAAAATTATTTTAAAAAATGAAATTAAATAAAAATATTGAACACTTACTTTTATTTATTGTTTAATTAGATATATTAAATAATTACATAAAAATAAAACTAAAAAAAAGCATTTATATATAATTTGTAAATATATTATTTTATTTTTATATATTATTAAAAATATATTATTTTTTATATATGATAAATATATTACTTTGAAAATATATTATTAAAAATATATTACTTTTATTTTAATATATTATTAAAAATATATCATTTTAAAAATTAAAATTCAAATAAAAAAATTGAAAACTAACTTTTATTTATTTTTTAATTAAAAAATAAAAATATATATTATAAAAAATATATTACTTTTTATTTTTATATATTATTAAACATATATTATTTTTTATATATTAAAAATATATTACTTTTAATAATATATTATTAATTATATATAATTTAGAAATATATTATTTTATTTTTATATATTTTTAAAATTATATTATTTTTTTATATTATTAAATAATATATTATTTTATTTTAATTTATTATTAAAAATATTTTAATTTATTTTTATATATTATTAAAAAAGCATTTATATATAATTTATTAAAAGTATAATATTTTTTTAGAAAAGCTTTTATTTATTTTTATAATAAAAAATGATAAGTCATTCCATTCATGTCTTATTCCTTCTGCATACCAAATGCATCAATGACAAAACTTATTTCATTCCATTCTCATAATCATTTCATTCCTACGACATTCCATCCCATTATATCAATCAGGACCTTAAACATTATACCTTAAATCAAACATTCATAATTAATAAACATTATACACAAATAACGTTCATCGACAAAATAAATGAGACATCTTAGTTAATCACCAAAAGAAATACATCATTCAATTATAGAAAAATCAAAATTAGCGCTTAAATATCTCCTCAAACTGGATAAAAATCTTGACTAAAATTATCTCCCCTATGTTCTAGTGTGGCTTCTATCCGCCTGTGTTCTATTTCCTTTTGGCTTTTTTTAATTCTCTGCCAAATAATTTTCACGATTAAGATGATTTGCACATGTGCCTAGGAGCAACTTTGAGGCCCCGATAAGAAAAATGTAGAAACATTAAAATTGAGAACGTGCGCATTAAAAGAGATAGGAATAGACCTAAAAAAAAATACTTAGAAAAATAAAAATAAAAAAAATGATTTAAAATGTTTAAAATTCAATGTGGGTATATTGTTTGGATCCAAGATCCAACACGATAGCAGATCCCAATTAGTATGATTTTAATATGTCTTGTTTGATTGATTGTGAGAGTTGGTCACAGCCGAAAAATTGAATTTCACTCCCAACAATTTATTCCCTCTTTGTACTACAAAATAAATCCTAGTCCTTTACACAAGTTTTTTGGTGATTGCGTGTCCTTTTTCCTTTGGCTTAACTACATATTTATATAGATATTGTTTTCGAAAAGTCAATAATGCAATATAGTATTTTAATTAGCATTTTAATCGTTTTACATTTTCTTAATTCCAAAAACATATAAAATGAAGATAATGATGATATTTTTTTATACTTGATTGCTTTCTTAATAATCTGAATGTAATTTACACACAAAATATGAATTTCTCTCTTAAATAATTATTATCATATATATATATATATATGTATGTATATATATATATATACTAGTTGGTTTCTGGTTGTGCTCGCACAGCCGGTTCAACCTTAGTCGATAATCAGTTAAAATTTTGTGTTAGTTAAATGTGTGCATTCTAGATTCATCCAAATATTTCTATTAATTACGTCGTCCAAGTTATCAACTATGGAGGTAAAAGAACTATCCCACAAAATAGTTATGAATGAACGACACGCATTCACTTCAATACTCTAATAATCACACTACACCCGTGGTAACTCAACAGGAAAGAGGTTGGCGATTGGAAAAGTTGTTCTATAGGATCTCAAGTCCATCAGGATGCACGTACGGTCTTTGAGAATGAAGAGGCTAGGATGGCGATCAATGATGGCTTATATCGGCTTTCGTAATGTGATTTCCATGTTTCTAGTTTGGTTCGTACTTTGATGGTCCCATCCTCACAAAAGCGTTTAATGTTGCAGAAAAAAACTTGACCTTTACTTCTCTAGATAGACATAACAACAACAAGCCCTTAAAATCTCACTAAGTGAGGTCGGCTATATGGATCACATGACTCCATCTTTCTCGATCAAATCACATATCTTCATTCGAATATTTTTTAATTATATTTTATTGTTTCCTTCCAAGCTATCTTAGGTATACCTTTCCCCTTTTAATTTACGTTCTTAATTCTAATATTTCTAACTTTCTCCGGGGAGCCTCGAAGTCTCCTACGCATATGATCAAACCATTTTAATCGTGATTCCCTCGTTTTCCACTACCCCAATGTTATTTCTAATACTTTCATTTTTTTAAGAATATATTTGCATCTATCTATAGATAGACATAAATATAATCTAAAAAATATATGGATTAGAATTAGAAAAAAATAAAATATAAATATCTCTCGATGTATAAGAAGCAAATGAGACTATTGGTATTTCTTTAGTTAATCATTACCATAACAACCATATTTATGTGTTTGATCCCTTACATTTTTATTTCCTATGTTTTATGAGTTTCATGTGATTTTGCTCTAGTTTAGTAGTATCTAACCCATTTGCCCCTTTTTCGTATTTGATATTTGCATACAATTGTATTCGTGTTAGTAACACATAAAGAAATATATCATCAAGTATCTCAAGTAGCTAAAACTTGATTTACATGCACGAAGATATGTAAATGACTAAACTATAGGATAAAGATAGGATAAAGAAAATGGGGGAGCATTTCTAAAGAAATTTATTTATCAATTAATATCTTAACTATTACAGTAGAATCTTATTAATCAACATTAATAACAAATCACGAGGATTTCTTATTCATTTGGTAACCAATAACATACCAAAATATTTCTTTATTGTATCTTCAAAAAACCATTTAATCAAGAGGATTAGTTTAGAATCATTTGATTTATCAATAACTCAACTGTTTCAGTTTTTCAAAAATTGCATACCCAATTTTTTAAAATATCAAAAGAAATTTAACTATTTAAATGTAATAACAAACCAATTTTTATCATTAAAAATAAACCATGTGTTCTCTTGTTTAATTTGTTGGCTATCCAACCATATGTAAACAGAAATATGCATGAGAACATTGTAAAATATAAGTACGAAATAAATTTAGAAATCAATTGGAAAAATCTTATTAATATAACTACCACAACACTATAATAGAATTGATATTTCAGTATTAATAACAAATTCCTACGATTTTCTGTCCATTTCATAACGAGCCATATATCAAAATCATCTATTCAGGGAGTTCAAAAATATCATTTGATTTTATTAATAACTATGCTAAATAACTTTTTACAAAAATCATATTGTGATTCACAATATCATAACAATCTCATATAAATTAATAGATTAGAAAGAAAAATTAATATATATATATATATATATATTAATATCATAAATTATAATAATAAAATACTATTAATGTAATTAAAAATCAATATATTTTTAACTTCAAAATAGTATATATTACAATCAATTTCAATTAATCTTATTAGAAATCGGAGTATATATTGTAACAAGGTTTGAGTAAGAGAAGATAGAGTGATAGAAGTATTATAAGATTATTATTTATTAACAATATTTGAGTATGTTAAATTTTCATTATCCTTAACTATAAACAATGTCTAAAATGATAATTTTAAATATATGAATCATATATTAAATTATTATATATCAGATTCATATATTAAATTATATATCATAAAAAAATATTAATTTTCAAAATTATTTTATATTAATTAATATTCTTTTATTGTTTTAATACAACCAAGTTGTAATTATTGCATCATGCATTAGTCAATAAGTTGTAATGTACGAGCATTTTAAGCTCTTCAACCAAAATGGCTTTTGGGTTTTGCAGTGGAGACAATCAATTTATTCGGTCTTTGATAAGAAGGCCATTTTATATGATTACCATACGATTTTAAAGTTACTGCATTAGTACGAATGTGTTGATTTTATTTGCACGTGTGCCATCTAAATTGCATTTATTTGGAAGAAGAAATAATATCAGTTACGCAATTGTTAAATATCCTACAAATTAGGAATGTGTTCATATCAAATTGAAAATTAATTGAGATATCATTGTCCTTAAATATCACAATTGTTAGTCCGCCGTTATTTTTGCACAGAAATTTGTATATTTAAATGGTAAGTGTTTATATCCTAATAAACTGATCTTGCTGATTCTATTCCGTAATATATCAAAAAAAATCAGGTATCATCTTCGTTTTGAAACTAGTTTATGTATATATGTAGTATATTTTTTGAGTTTTTTCCTATTTGATGTTTATATATACATATATATTTTTGGGGTTTATATATGTATACCGAACATATACCAAACGTATACATAACATATACTGAAAAAAAAATACCAGATCCAGCCGAACATATGTATCCCGAACATATACTATTTTTTGGGTTTATGTATGTATATCAAACATAAACCGAACATATACAGAACATATACAGAACTTATACTGAAAATAACTCTAATTTTCTAAGTTTATATATGTATACCGAATATATACCCAACATATACATAACATATGTATAACGAACATATAACTCCAATTTCCTGTGCCACCCATGTCAACCTTCACGCACATCTTATCCCGCCCGAAGTTATTTTTCCTCCGGTAAGCCGCCACGGCGGCCACCCCACCACTTGATTCTTACTTCCCACAGCCTCTACCTTCCCCTCCTCCTCTCTGTCGCTGCCACCGGCGCTAGAGATATTCAAAAACACTTTCTTCATCTCGTTCCTTTCCATCTCGTAGCCGCTGCGGCCGCCTTTGGGAAGCCCTAGCCTCAGCTCCGTTTCAAGTCCCAAACTGCTTTTCACCATTTTTTTTCTTTTTCGCAGATGATGAACAAAAACGAAAAATACTTTTTTCTCTTTTGTTGATTTTTTCTTTCTATCGATCGAAATTAAATTAAAGATTCGACCTTTATACATACATATATATATAAATATGTGTGTGTGTGTGTGTGTACGTGAGTGATAAGAAAAAACAGAGCCAAGTCGATAGGGTTAGTTGGTCGAAAGAAGAAGAAGAAGAGAGAGAGAGAGAGAGAGAGAGAGAGAGAGAGAGAAGGAGAGATATTGCGTGAAAGAGAAAATTAATCCCATTAAGTTTGGAAGGTGATAAGTCACCTTTAATTACAATGACTTAATTATCTAGTAATTTTGCAATTATAAAGGTTTAATCTTGTATATATGCTAATATTTTCAATGGGATTTCATTTATGTAATTAAAATTGATATATATTATAGAGTTAATTGCATAAAAAACCACCACCTTTTGTTTAATTGCAAATAAAACTCAACCTTTTCAATTTGGCAAAAAAATACCTAACTTTTATTAAGTGTTGCAATTTTGTTTCGTCCGCCGGACTGCCGCCGCCAACCACCACACGTCGCCGTCAACTTTGCCGGATATTGAAATTTTTTATATGATCTTGTAGCTCTCTTCTGTGTCAACAACATATCCGTGTTTCACGAAAAAATTTCGACGATAAAACGTCCAATTTTCCGGTCAAAGGTCGTAGATCTAAATTTCTCATTATCCTTAACTATAAACAATATCTATAAACAATATCTAAAATGGTAATTTTAAACATATGAATCAATATATCATAAAAAATTATTAATATTCAAAGCTATTTTATATTAATTAATAGTCGTTTATTGTTTTAATACAACCAATTTGTAATTATTGCATCATGCATTAGTCAACCAAAATGGCTTTTGGGTTTTGCAGTGGAGAGCAATCAATTTATTCGGTCTTTGTTAAGAACTACTCTCAGTGGTTGATTTGGAGCTAATTATGGACTCCAAATGGGCTTCCTCCTTTTGTGATGGGTTCATTTGTTGATGGGCTTCAAGTTGGACCTCTGTGTTTTTACCCCATAAGAAAGCATAAAGCCCAGCCACCAGCATTCCACCTCCCAAAACACTACAAATTAAGTATAATCTCATCTTCAGTAAAAACAAATAAATTATATGTATAATCACATTTATCTAGAAAACAATAAGACAAATTCATTAAGGAAAAAAAAAGTAAAAAGAAAAAATATTGGGCCCTGACTTTCCCCAGTAGAGTGATTCATGAAAAAGAATAGCTGAGAAGAGGGCCGTCAACACGAGTGCTAATGGGCTGAATATTGCAGTGAATACTGGGCCTTTTTTCTCCACAACCCAAACTTGCATTGAATAATTTATGGCGGACACGACAATGCCCTGAAATTTTACCTTTAATCAATATCCAGATATGCTTATATTGCTAACATGGGGAGATACTACTTACGGAGCCATTTTATCGGATTTTGTAACCGTTAGATCAACTATCTTCGACGGTTACAAAACCCGACGGAATGGTTCCGTAATGAGACCGTAGCATTTCCCAAGAACATGTTATTTTTGGTATAATCACATCTAAAAATTAATAATATTTTGGGACAAGAGATATTAGATATACATACAGAATAAGCCACAGACAAGAGATTTATATTCCAACCAAGCTTCCAAGATGATATATCTCTTTCCTTAATTGCACCATACACTGCTGACACTAAGCAACTGAAGCCACACTGTAATGTTGTGAGCCTCAATTTTGCAGGATATTCTTTCAAAATTGGAGCCTAAAAATTTAAATTTAATTTTCAATAAAATAAATTAATCAAAAGTTAAACAAACAAATAATAAATTACATAAAAAGAAAAATAATAATAATAATAATAATAATTATTTGGAACCAAAATTGGACCTGCATGACAAGCCAAATGGACCATGTCAAGTTTGATCCAAGCAAGAGGAGGGAGCCCTTGATCCATTCTTCTTTTGAGTAGCTCCTTGCAATTAGATTGTGGGCCTCGTTATTGGACCCAGAGTATAGGTATGGGCCCTTATAGAATGTGAAGACCATAGCTCCTGAGATGCCGAGTACGGAGCCCAATACTTTGGCCCATCCATGTTTCTTCCTTATTGCTAGGTTTTCAATCCTACATCGTGCACAAATTAAGGATCTTTTTTTTTACATGCTCAAATAACTAGAAAATCAACATATGTTCTTACAAATTGAGGAATTTTCACTATTAAATTAATACGTCGATCTCTTTTAAGTTCGATCAAAGTCGACACATTTATTAGTATGTGATCGAAATGTCACTGGTACAATAACAAACAACAGCTTAGCACAATCGGACAATGTTCATATAATTTCCATAAACCTCATCAAAGGCCCTAGTAAAAGAAATAAGCAAATAATGATAAAATTTCATTTTATGATAATTTTACTATGTGCATACATTCATTAATTGATTCTCATTTTGTTTTCTAGTTAGTATTGTGATCTAGCCATATGTTTCATTAGATGATATTACAGGTATGTAGTTAATCACAATTGTAAACAAGTACATCTAATAATGATGAGTCTCGAAATATGTGTTAATACGCACGTAATTATACCTCGACAAAACTGCTATAATGAAAACCATAGCAGGAATCGTGTTCGTAACTGCCGTAGCAAAAGTTGCAGAGATATAGTTTAAGGCAACATAGTGTAAGTTCAATGACATGGTCATCCTGCAAAAAACATAGCACATATGCATGTTCATAAGCTCAATTCAAACATAA